TGTATATATATATATATACAGTACCTATATAATACTTTATACATAATACACAAACAATAAACATACATGATTGTGTCTCGGTCACAAGACCGTTGTCGTGGCACAAGATGGAAATGCTTTTTGGGGGCCATTTCCCTCATTATAAGTACTTAGGTACTATTAAGTCTTAAACTCTATCATTATTTGAAAATTATTTATCTACATTTTTTTTTAAAGTTCTATAGAGAGAAATAAAAATGTTGTGACTATATTATGGAGTTATTAACATAAATTCAACTTGGCTTAAATTTATGGGGGTGCTAGATTTACGTCTACTTGAGTGATCAGTGGGGGCTTTGCACCCACACTCCCCTCCATTCTTACAACTCAGGTGTTAATTGTATACACCTTCGCATTAATCTTAATTCAAATAATTACCTATAACATAATAAACTTCAACCTATATTATTATTCTGATAGGTACCTATGTATTATTATTATGAAAATAATAAGGTCTTAGAAATAAATGTATCCAAATACCTGTGGCATAATATTATAGTCAATAAAAATTCGATGATGCTATCAAAAATTTGGGGGTGCTAATATGAATTTTGGGGGTGCCAAGCACCTCCAAATTGCGCCTATGGTTATTAAATTTCATTAAGCGTCAATTATGAGCAAGTCTGGATTAAGTTTTAAACAAAAGAAGTAGAGGTAGGTAGCATACTACACGAGTACCCAATATTAAAATAATATTACCTCCATGGCTGCATTGACCTGTGTTAAAAATAAAAATTTATAAACCGAATAAATGGAACTTGAAAACGGGGCCTGGAACCTTGATGATTTTTACGGTACCGGTTCCTGCAGTTTGGTTCCCAAAAAAACTAAAATTTAGGTTCCGGTTACTCTTCGGTTCTTAAAAAATAAAAATTTGTTGGTTTTATACTTTGTAAAAAAATTTGTAAAGTAAAAGTATCGGTTCCGGGTTTTAAATTAATTTTAATAAGGGTTCTGGTAAAGTTCCGGTATTAAAATTAATTTCAATAAGGGTTTCTGTGAAGTTTTGGTTCCCAATATTCAAAGGGTTCCGGTTCCAAAACCAGTTCTTTTCTATAAGGTTTCCAGTCCCTGTTTCAAAATATGAATTGTATTTAAATTTAAATACTAATTAAATTAAATTAACTAATTTTAATGATAAGAACTATTTTTTCCAACTGTTATAGGTATAATAATAATTATTATTAATTTTGGCACTTAAATATTGAATTTAAATTTACTAGATTAAAATATTAATTGGTAAAATATAAATTATATTATACAAAATTAAAATTAAAAGGTATAGCCTGTAGTTTATAGATACACAGAATAATAGTTTAGGGAAAACAATTTTTTTTTTTTGTATAGAGAGTATTTTTTTTAAATGTTGAACGATTTAATAATGGGCATTAGGTGGCGCGTTGTGATGATAACTTGGGGCAGTTGAAGATGAAATTAGATGAGTAATGCAACCGATTGTTGTGGAGTGTTTTGAATTGAAGAGAGGGGGCTAATTAAATAGGAATTTAAATAAATGAGAGGGAAGTAAGGTTTCACCATATATTGGAGACGGGAATATGAGATTTCCTTGTGAGATTAAGGTTGTAAAACCAGGACTGTGGTGGGATGGTTGGGCCGTTGGGGAATATACCTTACATTATTATATTATATTATGGAACTGCTGGAGCGTTTTTCAATGATTTGGCCATAATTTCTTTTACAAATCCAAAACCCTGAGGTTAGGGATTAAGTGAGATTTTAAAACTAGGATCATAAACGTAATTTGGAGGGGGCTTGGGGGTTCTAAGCACACAGATTTCAGTACCTACCTATATTATAGGCATTTTAAATAATAACATAGAAACTATCAATAATTTTCGTACTAAAAAAATTAAAAATACTAAACATAATTTTATGCTAACGGGACGGGAACCTAATGTTACCTCCCCGCCCTTTTATCCGGCTTGGACAAGATAGTTGAGAACCTTTAAATGTGGTTTTGTTATTATTATTAGCCTGTGGGCAGTATTTTTTATTTATTTTATTTTATTAATATAAACGGACGTGAGTCCTAAAACATAATAGTATAAACATTGTGTGCAGAAGATAACAAACATAACATAATAAATTATAATTTATCTTAATTTAAGATTGTATATAATAAGAAAATGTATAATTAAATATAGAATACATAATAAATATAACTAAAAAATTAATCAAATATAATCAGACATAATTTGAAATTAGAGAAATGTCACCTTTTTTAAAAATTGGAGAAATAAAAGAAGTTTTCCAAACTGAAGGGAAAATTCCTTTATTAAGAGATATTTTAAATATATTAGTTACATTTGATAGTATACCACATTTGATCACCTAACGTCGAAAATTTTAAACATTTACTCAGGACGTGCGTGTGGTGTAGATATAGACATAAGACAGTCGTGGATCTAGAAATTAAAAAAAGTAGGGGCTAGACGAAAAAAATTACTTCAAGTACATAAAAGCCGATAAAAGCATAGGCATTAAGTTTAAGTTTTTATAGTTAATAAAATATTCATCATTCATGCATATTATAAAATAATAATAATAATTACAAAATGTAATAACAAAATTACCACTTATTGCATATTTAACAGTGTTGGGTAGTAACGTAACGAAAGTAACGCGTTACGTAATTTCATTAGAATTATTTCCAAGTAACGAAAATGTAATGTAAATTACTTTTGAAAAGTAATTTCTATAGAATAACGCGTTACAGTTTCAAATTATTAAGTACCTACTTACCTATTGCGAATTGAAAAAAAATATATGTATATTGTTATGTATATTATTATGTTTACCAATCTAATATGTATATATATTTAATTTTACCTCTCCACAATTCAGTTTACAATGGTTCTGACATTTGAAATGTCTAATTGCACCGTATTTATCACGAAAACAGTTAATTAAATTTATTATTTAATTTGATTTCCTTTAAATAGGTTTCCTATGAATTTCTTGTATGGAAGACTAAGTTTTGTACGTTCCTATCAACTATACAGGTTTTTTAAAGAATTTTGCTTGTTCAATTTGCCTGCAGAAGATAATTGCCAAGATATAAAAAATTTTTTTTTTTGCAAAAAGAAAGTTACGAGTTACTTTCTTACTCGAAAAGTAAAGTAATTTCATTACAATTTTATTTGAGTAACGAATAAAGTAACTTACCCAACAGTGATGTTTAATATATTATATAATTACTTGGGCAAGAATGAAATATTTTTAAGTAGGTACCTGAGGGGGGAGGTCAGCTCCCATAGCCGGTGACAGATATTTAAAATCAGCCCAATTTACTAACCATTATAGATCCGATGGCTAGATGTTAGGCCAATAGGGTGGGGGGGGGCTGTGCCCCCCTCCCTTGGATATAGAAGAATGAGTATAATACCTATATCATGTACCAGATACCCAACTATTATGAACGTGGTGGTACGGATTTCGCGAGCCCGTACGTAGGCGGTGACGAGGGGGGAAAAAGAACCGTGACAATACACGGAGAACACGGCCGCGGCGGCGGTCCGGTGAGCGTAAAGTATTTGAGAGAATTCAGCGGCGGCGACTCTATAATAGACTCTATAACATAATAATAATACGTCGGCCGCGCTAAAATTAGACGGTACTACGCGTATCTCCGACCGGACGCTGTCCTTTTCTGCTGCTGCTGCGTTAATTTCATCATTATATTATTATTACTATATATAATACTACACGCGCGTGTTGTAGTCGTACATTATATACCTACATCCAAAATATTAATAATACGAAATCGTATTATTATTATAAACGCACCGCGGTATGAACGCAAATTTTTTATTTTTTGGCAACAATGACCGCATATTTTCTTTTTTGTTTTCCACCCGAGTGTACGAAAAATTCACCTATTTATAAAAGTCCCGCCGCCGCCGACTATATTGCTACGCTCTAAACCGCCTTAAGGGGATTGGAAGCGACGATTTTCTGTCTCTGTCTGATACACGTGCAACATAGGATTATAGACGTGTTCTATTTCCAACGTACCGATTAATCTAACGAAGCGATGAGAATTCTGAAAACAGATTTGAATTTGTCGTCAAGTCTACTTGAGATCGACTTTCCCACATTTTTGATTTTTTGATTTAAACTTCTCCACAAAAGTCGAAATATGTACATTTTTTAATTACTATTTTTAATATATCCTTTTTATGATTTTGGTGGGACAATATCAAAAATGTGGGAAAGTCGATCTCAAGTAGACTTGACGACAAATTCAAATCTGTTTTCAGAATTCGTATCGCTTCATTAGATTAATCGGTACGTTGGAAATAGAACACGTCTATAATCCTATGTTGCACGTGTGTTAGATAGAGACAGAAAATCGCCGCTTCCAATCCCCTTAACGGTGTGTAATGAATGACTGCGATCGCTGTATGATTTACCAAGTGAACAACGTCGCGAGTGCACCTATCGCTTTTGAACGTTCGCCAACCGAATTTCTGTGCCGTTTACTGGCGTAGTTTTTTTTTTTTTACTATTTCGTTGTTTCACTCCCTCGTTGAGGAAACAACCGAAAAATTTAGTAAACATGTTTCACAAACTTAATAGACCACAGATCGTAGATAAATAATTGGCTCTTCCGGCATATAATCATATTATTATGAACTTATTGAGGTAGCGATTTGAGTACCCGCCAAAATGCATTGCCTAAGAGAAAGTGTTTTACTACTATTTCAAAAATCATTCATAGTACTTACATGGCCAATATATATATATATATAACAGTAGATGTGGGAAAATTAAAAATATAATACATTAATGCACAATAGTTGTTTTATATGTTACACACACAATTTTATTGTACGATTTACAACAATTAATCTTATAAAATACAATTTTGTGTTAGGTAGGTTGTAATTGAAAATATTTTTATAAACAGACCGTAATAATAATATACTATAATATAATGTTTAAACTTTCAAAAAATCTTGGGCTTCGTCTTGCATCCTGTATTGCATGTTCTTGACTTCTGAACACCAAGTGTCCAGTCTACCGATCATACCCGATATTGGCGTTTTGTTCATCACTCTTGGTTGAACCCATTCCAAGTACACACCTTCACTGACTTGATCGATTTTACCCTTGACTAGACCTAATGACAATGCTTTCATTACCAGCATTTCAATCTGTTCTAATGACAATTGTGTCTCACGTGCAATCTCTTGAAATGATAGACATCTGTTTTTAGCTTGTCGTTTGAATGTCATTTCCATCAAACAAAGCAGGGAAATTTTTTGTCTGAGTTTATGTTCTTGAACTGCTATATCAGGTATGGAAGCCCACTGTGGCTTCATTTTGGCAAATTTTGTGATGTCTCCAGTGTTGAACGCATTTAACAGTTCTACTAACCAATAATTTGTTGTGTTGTTTAACGAATCTAAAATGGGATGCATGAGCAGCTCACCCAAATTATAGATGTCATCGCTTAGCAACGCAGCAAGTCCCAATAAAAATGCGTTTCTTATTTGATCTGGTTGGCTAATTGTAGACAAGTCAATTGAACCCAAATACTTCAAACAAGTGCGGTAGTATTCAGTGTGCTTTCCTTGAATACGATACAGATGACTGGCCAACAAATAATACCGACTATGCACAGGGGATATTTCATCCAGATCACTCAGCAATTTATCAACATCAGTAATGACGACCAAGCAGTCTTGTTGATTTTTCAATTTATCCAAAAGTATTTCACCTTTTAGAACCTTAGCAAAAATTAAAGCTTCAACTTTGTCTTTAACTTTCGGTTCTAGAATTTCTAAAAATACGACTGCTTCTTTTGGTTCCTTGATAAATGGAATGACATACGAAACAATTTCAACCAAAGCAAAAGAATTCATTTTGCTTTCTATTGGTTGAATAAATTTATTGTAGAAATTCAACAAGTCGACTTTTTTTTGAATGTTTGTATCCTTAACATAGGCCAAAAGTTTTAAAGTCAATTGATGCCATAATTTTTTGGTTTGTAATTCTTCCAATTCCGACATTTCAACTTCAGGTTGTGCCATGTTTGAGCTATGAAAAAAAAAATATAGATTAAACAATTTTTATTTTTAAGTACAATAATATTGTTACATATTATTATATAAATTATAATTAAAATATTGTAATTATTTTTTAGAACTAGAACCTAGTTTTCCATTCAAAGATATTACAATTCGTAGAGGAGTAGACATGAAAGACCACTATGAACTACAATCTGAAATTGGACGGTAAGAAATTCTATACATTTTACACAGGTTTTATAATACATGATTAAAGAGCCAGATCATTAAATAATATTAACTTTAATTTTTGCACTATCAAAATGATGCATAGATCACATATAATATATAAATACAGCTATGATAATAACTTGTATCAAAGTTAATAAAAACTTAATACATTGGCATAAGGCATACACATTTAGTACTTCTGCCTAATATATCTCTAGTATTACCTAACTAATATTTCAAACAAGTACCTGTAGGCTGTAATATTAATTATAAATTGTCCATACGAATAGTGTTAAAAAGATAAATTATAAAACCGTAGGTTGTGCACAAAGTAAATTATTATTTACTGGCACTAGTAGAGTAAGCCCAAATATTCCAACTATGTGATAATGACCATCACAACCGTGTTAGCTGGCTTTAAGCTATTTATAAAATATATAGCTTTTAATGCCAACTGTCTAAAAACAACTTAAGCTCTATGGTAATACTGTTGTGAAAATCCTTTCAAAAGATAATTACTTCTGATTTCATACCATATTATTTTATATAAAATTATAATAACTATTTAATTTAAAATAAACATTTAATAGGTACAAATATTCTAGGATAAATGTACATCAAATTATTTAAATTATACATGGTAGGTGGTATGAGTGTATGACCCACCTACCATGTATATTAATTAAGCAATTTTAAAAACAAGTTTATTTTAAACATTATTCATTTTTAATACTAACATATTGCTATTTATTGTAAACATTTAAAATTTATAATAACAAAAATATTTTGGCATAAGCTGTTTATAAATAAACATTAATATTATAAACAAATTAATAGGTTCATTTTTTTATTTTAAGTACACAAATAACTTAAATATACAATATATTTGAAGAAAAAAACAGTTAATGAATTTGTTATAAGGGAGATTATTATAAAAGTATTAGCAGTAATATTTTAATAAAGTTTAAATAAAAAAATTCTGAGTCAGAATAGTATTTCAAGATAGAAAAAATATTTACCTATTCAGCTACAGCTGTAGTTAATTGTTTGAATATGAACCAGTGGCACCGAAGTCCATGCTGACGTCGGGCCATATTTAATTTACATCATAACTTTATTATAAACATGAGTAAATTTGAACCGTGATTATGAATAAATTTGTATTAGGGTACCTCTATATTAAATAATTAAGATATTGAGGCCGGGAAGTTTTAAAATTGCCCGACCACATTTTAAAAACTTCAGCGCCACTGATATGAACACTAATACTAGTAAGTACATAGGTATTAAATGAGATGATAAAATATCATATTTAAAATGATATACATTTTTTTTTTTGTTTAAATTGTTATGTTTTAATCGATAAAAAATCTAGGTACTAAGTGCCGGGTACATTATTGGTTGTCTATCTCTTAAAATGACAAGTATTACTTATTTGGTAAAATAAAATATTGAGTATAAATCCCATCTAAATATGTATGTTTGTTTAAAATATTATGATTTATGATAGTTAAATGATTTTCATCTCACATAAAATACTAATGTTTATTCTTTTTTGAGTTTGGAAATTATACCACAATATATAAAAATGTACACATTAACATATTATATTTTATACTAAATCCATACATAATTTTAAATATTTTGAAATTAATTAGTAAGTACAAATTGTCACGAACGAAATTAACGGACAGGTAGATACTAAGATACATAATACATGCATTTATTATTCTATAATGTTGAGAAAAATAATTTTTATTTTCCAACAAAGCCATATTTCCAATCATTGATTCATTAACTTTTAACTTCAAAACATAGGATGAACAACAGAAATAAACATTTATGTCGAGTCATTGTGACATTGTATCGTAATAATTAACGATGGATTTTTGCGTACCGATTACACCTACGTACAGCCATAAAAATATAGTTTCAAACAAACTTGGTGTTATTAAATAGTTGGGAAATAACGATAGACAATACTTACATAATAATGTCAATTAAAAGACAAGAGCGTATTGAGTTCGAAGACGAAATTCGATGTAAGTTTGTTGTGCAGTAGTGCTTCAAATACGAAATAGGTACGAAACTACTAAATAATAATATCACAAAACAAAACATTGATAACAAAATACGCGATTCACGATTCCGGCATTACTTTCGTCAAGGGAGGAGGAGACTGTTACAGTGGCGCCAACTGTTGTGGAACAATATTTCATACACAATATTATTGTATCAAATAATATTATGCGCGCCTTCGGTTCGTAAAATAAACGGCTACAATCGTCGCTTGTACATTTAAACCATGGCTATTATTACATGCTTTTCTTTAACTCGCAATGTTTCATTCGTTTCTGTTGTCATCAAATCTTGCGAGTTTAATTTAAGTCACTTCTACATGACCTAGGAGGCTCAGATTTTGTACGGAGGTCTAGGGTCGGCGACAATACATGACCCAGTCGTGAATTACAAACAAATGTACCGTAAATAAAAAAAATTATGCTTTCAAAAAATCCTTTGTTTCTAATTTATTGTTATCACTAAAAAGTAGAAAATGAAAAAAAATAAAAATTTTTTTTTAAAAACATGCTTTTCTTAATACTACTTAATACATGAACGAAAAAGTTGAAAATAAACTTACTTTTAAAACAATTTCTTAGTGAAACTTCAAGGTTATCAAGATATTACTAAAAGCGTGTTTCTAAAATGTATTTGTTGCAAAATTTTTAAAACTTGTGAATTACAAAAAACGAAATACATGGGGCTCCTATGAGTCAAGAATATCTCTTTCAAAATTGGAAGTATGATCAATAATCTTTAAAATATTTATCATAAAGTTTATCTAATGATTCAGTTGTAGAGTGACTTTACATAGGAGTTATCATAAGTGCCCCATGCTTTTCGTTTTTTGTAATTCACAAGTCTTAAAAATGTTGCAACAAATACATTTTAGAAACACTTTTAGTAATATCTTGATAACCTTGAAGTTTCACTAAGAAATTGTTTTAAAAGTAAGTTTATTTTCAACTTTTTCGTTCATGTATTATTAAGAAAAACATGTTTTTAAAAAAAAAATTTTCATTTTTTTTCATTTTTATTATAATATGCCTATTATATAGTTGTATTTATAGTGCAGTCAGATCGTCTAAAATGACTACCTACACACATAGCTAATAAATATACGTAGCAACTGGCAGAGCCCTATACTTACGATTTTTGGGGTCCGGGGCTAATTTGTTGATGGGGCCCCTTAATGGCCCTAACTTAAATAATATTAAAATACATTTTTTTTTTGCTATTCCGTTTTTTTAATATTCGATTTAATTTTAAGATTATAAATAAATTATACAATAAGTGTATAAGTCTATTATAAGTATTACTTTGTGTTGATTGATATAAATAAATCGTATATGACTGTATTACAAAATATATATGCTGTACGTTCATTAAAACATTGTGTATTTGTTTTTCTTTTAAAAGGGGGAAGTTCGGTACCGTGTTCAAATGTCGAGAAAAGGCTACGAGTCTTATGTTGGCTGCTAAATTCGTCGGTATTCTTCATAAACAAGATCGCCGAAATGTGGAAAGAGAAGTAGAAATAATGTGTGAACTTCAACATCCCAGATTGATACAACTCTACGACGCTTTTGAAGCAAACAATGCAATGTGCTTCATTTTAGAACTGTAATTGAATTATTTGATTATTATACTGTTTACTTGTTCAATGCAATTTGTTGTAAAGTTGCAAATACCTATTATACCACGGTTGATACAATTAATGCAATATTTCAAAAATAATTAACGTAGTGTTTGCAAATATTTTTTTTTACATAATCTTGGATTTAAAAACAATTTTATTTAAAATTTTTTTTTTTTCTAAAAAAATATATATTAGATTCTGAGCGGAGCGATGGCCGATGAATGTATTGATTTTACAACAATGTGTGTTTTTAGGGTTCCGTATACGGTAAAACGAATTTTTGTACTTATGTGTGTTCGAAAAGAAGTCGAAATAATGCTTCGATTTTAAACTTGCATATCTTTTCTGGTGGGAAAGGGAATCTAGTAGGTCGAAATTTAAAATCCCCAGTAGTTTTCAAAAGCGACGGGATTTTGGTTTTTAATGTTACTTTAAAAAAAATTACCGTAGATTCACAATATATTCACTGTATGTTTAAATAAATAATTTCTATACACCAAAAAATTAGCAAAATATTTATACTCTTGTAGACATCTGGAATTATCGATTTTTATTTGTGTTTTTAAACTAATGTCGATATAACAATTTTCGCTCCGTAAACAAACTTTAAAATGTAATTCAAGATTCCTTATAAGTTTTTGTAAGTTCAATTAAAAAAAAGTTGAGCGTAATTCCACAATAATTTTATGAACGTTTGAAGCTAGAATTTTAACGAAATTCGTAAAAATTACGAAATGCACTAAAATGAGCAAATTATTATGAGTTAGAATATCTTAAAAAGTTTTATTTTCATATCTTAGATTTTAAAATGTAATGCGCAATATTCAAGTTTTATTACCATTATCAAAAAAATTTGTCTACCTGAAAATCACATTAAATTTTTTTGAACTTTTGAAGATTTAATTTTAACAACATTGGATATTCACTCGATTTCTCATAGAGCTATTAATTGTAACGATATAAATTTAAATATATTAAAATACATATAGGCACGATATATTTTGTATAAGCATTTAAAGTTCAAATGTTGACAAAATTTATCAAATTAAAAATGTTAAGTTATTTTACAGTTAAAAATGTATAAAATGTTCAATTTTTATAGTAAGGGTTTAGGGTTAAAAATTTAAAACAAGGTTCCACGTAAATAGTATTTATATTGTAACTGTAAAATCTAAAAAATATATAAACGCAATTTTTTTTTGATAGTTTTTAAGTTCAAATTCTGACGACATTACATTTCTAAACTAAAAATAACGATTTTAGTTTTGTGTTTATTATTATTTAAAAATATTATTAAAAGAATAAAATAATATGCAAATAATATTAATTTACTTTATCCTCTACCGTATTAATAATAACAATATAAATATAATATAAAATATCCTCGGTTGACAAATCGTCTCAGCTCAGAATCGTTTTCCGGATACATTCATATTAGGTATATCATTGAAGTCAAAATTAACAACGTCGATTACCGTCACCCACTTGTAACTGTACAGTAGAGTTTCACCTACTTTTTAAGATTTATTATCATTTTCATTTTTAAAATGTTTACTCTTGAATGACAACATACACTTTTAATTTCCTATTCTGAAGTAAGAATTTTTATTATAGATCGAAATACTCCGGAAAATATTTTTGAATATGGCATTAAAAATGTATACGTTATCATTCAAAAGTGTAAGAAATTTAAAATGATAACGATAAAAAATAGTTGTTATATAACGATTTAAAATTATGTACAAAAAATATTTTCCAAAATTTGAGTGTTTTCTGAAATGAAAAAGTCACATGTTAAAATGTTAAATGATTCACTCTGTACGATATATAATAATATTATGTATATTTACATTTTTAATATTGAAATTTTCATAAAATCGCGTATCTATATAATATGATATTATGATATATATAAATATAATTTAATTCTTTCAGAGTTGAAGGTGGTGAATTATTCGAACGAGTAATTGGTGATGATTTTGTATTGACCGAAAAAGCTGTAACGATATTTATGCGACAGATCTGTGAGGGAGTACAATTTATTCACTCTAAAAATATACTCCATCTTGACCTCAAGGTAGGTACCTATATGCTATATTACTACATACTACATAGACACAAGACACATAGTACATACTTATTGCAGTGACCAGTATTACAATACTACTGCATATTCAGAGGCGGACTGGGAGGATCAGGCACAGTGGGAAAATAGGATTATCTGCCCAACATTCCACTCATATGCGTTTTCACAGGGGGGGGGGATTAGTGATTGAGGGATGGATCCACCCGGAGTTGCTCGATTGCCCACCATAGTCTTTTTTTTTTTAGTTAATTTCCTGTTTAACTGGTATTTAGTAATAATAATGAAACAAATAAATATAATCAAAAAAAAAATGTTTTGTGATTCGTTATCATTTCCACAATAATTCGTGTGAAGGTGTATTGATATTGTATTATCTCATTTTTTGATAAATTTTCATATTCCCCCCCCCCCCAATAAAAAATCCTGAGAAAGCCTCTAATTCCACTCTATACAATTTTCTTCATAAAATAATATATTATAATATAATTCATAATAATGATAATCAATATGAATTAAAATTTTTAAAAAAACCTAATTTATAGTAGGTATACCTATTAGTTTCTATTACCAATTTATTATAAACATTTTTTATTTTAAAAGCAATTAATTACATTGTTTTTTTATTTATTAAATTAAACATGAAGTTTATTAGATGCAAATGCAATCACATGGAAATTACAATGAAAACATTTTACTCATAACAGTATAACTCTGAACTATACTCACGTCTCAGACAACTAATAACAGTAAGTACACAGTACAGCACATGGCCCACGTGGAGACGAGTTACCGTTGCAACATTCGAACAAAACTATCTGTACTTTATAAATGAAGCTGCCTTATATTATAATGCCGACTTATTTTCATCACTAGGATTATTCATGTCACACACCTATTGGCTATTCCAATATTTGAATATTTAATAGGTTATATATAGGTATTGATGATATTAAAAAACCAAAATAAATTTTGGGAACCAATATAATAATATAAATTATAAAAATTGTATATTTTTTGTTGTCATCGGCGTGGCGTGGACCAGTCCGCCTCTGAGCTTATTATATACATACAAAATACCTACATAATAATATAGTCTTTTACAAAAACAATGTTCTCGTGATGACTACCTATAGTTAAATCTAAACTTTCTCTTATAATCATATAAATTCTAAACATTTTGCGTTACTCGGATTTCAGCCAGAAAACATTCTATGCTTAACTAAGACTGGAAATCGTATAAAAATCATTGATTTCAGTTTGGCCAGAAAATTCAATCCAGAAAATAAACTTCAAGTGTTATTTGGCACACCAGAATTTGTAGCACCAGAGCCCAGAGGTAGTAAACTTCGATACCATCGGATTCGGAACAGACATGTGGTCTGTAGGGGTGATATGTTATGTCTTGTAAGGAATACATTTAGTATTTACATTTCACAATATCTATTTAAAATTCAATTCAACGCATCCATACGACTATACTTAGGATGTTAAATCCGGACTCGGCATGTTTAATATAGGTTATCGGGTCTGTCAAGTTTTATGGGAGAAACTGACGTGGAAACTATGTCCAACGTAACAATTGCTCAATATGATTTTGATGATGAAGCATTTGATTCTATATCTAACGACGCAAAGGATTTCATCAAAAAGCTTCTTGTCAAAGATCACAAGTATGGTTATTGAGTTATTGGTTTATGAGCTGTGGTGTTCTGTATAATATATAAACATTAAATATATAATATTGCACTAATTAAAACTCACTGATAACACCTACTAACTATTAAACAGATATATAATCAGGACCTTCTCAGGACATTAACAGCTATTTTTTAAATGGCGGCATTTTTGAATAATTATGAGGTGATTAAAATTGAATCTTACATTCTTGACTTTATTTGTATTAAATCACTAGCACCGGTCCTGGCTATCTATACTGTATTATAGTACATAGGTACTACATATTTAATTGTATCTGTATTTAAAATTTAAATACCAACAAATTGAGTCTAACGCTAATACATTATAATATAGTAAGACTCTATAACAAGCAGGGCGCCTCGTGAGTCATAAGCATTTACATATTATATTATCATTATTCATTATGATGTGATTTATAAGCCAACGTGCTTCGCTTCATTAAACTAATTTAAAACAATTATACTAGCGTCGTAAATGTGATTTAAGTTCTTGAAGAAATGTAGATGGACATTTTTTTAATTCAATTGGTACGTAGGTTAAGTATACCGTAACGTTAACGTATCATTCTTTATATATTGCAAACAAAAATATTATATTTTTATTTCACATCACAATTGAATTCGTTACCCGATTTAAATATAAGTATATCATAATTAATTGGTATTTAAAAAATATTTACCATGTAAATAACTTATATGTTGTAGAAATTGTATGGTTATTTATATACCTAATGCATTTACATTTATTTTAAGTATTTTTATCTCTAAATAATATATTATAATATCACCAAAAATAAACTACTTAATACTTTTAATCGACGCGTTTTGTTTATATCGTTGTATACTTGTATAGTGTATACATAGACACATAGTTAACTAATTTACAAGTACAATCAATTATTAAATTTAATTAAATACAAAGAACAATGTTTTTTAGGATATTTAGGTTTTTCTAGTTTTAATAAAAAATCATGACTTATAAGTTATTGTTTGGATTAAAACTTATTTGAACATTTGTGTTTTTGTTTAACTCTTTAATAAAAACATTATATTCTTCTATACAACTTCATGGTACCTATGTAGAAGTGACAATTTAAAATCATAATACAATTTCTGTTTTTAATTGGTGTATTAATGTTTTCAGTAAGCCGTTATTATAATAATGTACCTACTTATTGGCTATTGGCTATTACCGTATAAAGTATTTAGTTGTTATTTACATTTTTCTGTAATGTATATTATATCCTAATTTAGACTTGCATTCTTGTACAGATACAATATTATATTTATACTTTAAATGTATAATTACGTACCTAATAAAAATATCAGTGATTAATGATTTTAATACATTTGTATATTGATATTATATTATAATAAGCGTGTGTGTGAGTTACTGTTTTAATATATATTCTCCAGCGATAGGTATAATAATCTATACCTCCTGTCCTCCAATATACATATTATTACACATGTTTGATTTTCGCTACGAATTTTTATTGTGTGTATATTGGTTGGTCTGACTGCCACCGAGTGTTTATCGCACCGATGGATGCAAAAGAAAAAACCAAAAAAAATGGTACGAAAAAGTTCGAGCAAAAAATTGGTGAAGCAAATTGAAGAGAAAACGAAACAGACGCCGGATGTGCTGGAGACTGCTATATGCACCGGTCAAGACGCGTTACTATTGCCACTGGATACGACCAAAGAGAACTTGAAAGAGTTGTGTAGCAAGTCACGGAGCCCATCGCCGTTGGAAATCGCTGCCGAATCGCCGATTTTGGCGCAGCTCAGAATTCTGCAAAAGGATAGTAAAACGTCCAAGACGTGCGGAAACGACAATGACGACGACAACATGTCGACACCTGCCGGAATTGTCACTGGTAAATCTAGGGTGATGGCGGCCGTACCATTGAACACAACCGCCACGACTTCCGGCGTACCGTTGAACACAACCGCCACGACTTCCGGCGTACCGCAACACACGGCCGCCACGACTTCCGGCTCGTCTACAGGAGGGGCCGTCGACACGACACCAGAGGTGGATATCGTGAAGGGAGTGGCGGACCGACAGCGGACGTCAACGACCACTTGGTCGCAGACGACTTATCAAACGATGGCGGACAATGCAAACTGTAGCAATAATAATTATTATCGGCGTACGTCGGACGTGTCGTACACGTTTTCAAACTTCCGGACGTCACCGGCGGATTCGTCGTCGTCCAATTTCCTGGGACAGGAGCTGAGAGACCTGCAGACCATGATGTTGGGAGACCACCGGTCGGAAGCACTGCAGCAGGACAGCAGCGCGGGCAACCCAGGGAGCAGCCTGCACAAGCTGTTGCTTAACCGGCAGCACCTGACCGCAGCCGATGCGGATCGGAAACCCAAGTTCAAGTTCTCGTCGATGAACCGTGACGTGCCGACCGGGTCCCCGCCACCTGTTAGCAACCTGTTGTACTACATGACTGCGGCGGCTGCTGCGGCGACGTCGTTGTCGTCGTGTCGATCGGCGCCTCACAGTAAGCGCGCATCCCCCGAACACGAGTGCACCTCCGCCAGAGAGATGTTGCTCAAATTGTTCTACGGCGGCAGCGACACTGTTGCCGAACCAAATTTGTCCACTTGATACACATCGCCACCCCGCGCAAGTTTATATCATAAATCATAATATATATAATATATACATAACACGTATACATTTATATGCTACACAGTTAAACGTAAATACATACATATTACATGTGCGTGTGTGTGTAGTTTATTATTTATATCATAAATTAATAATATGTAAATGGTTATAGATAAATCTACGACGTGTATTTGGGTGTAGCACATAAGCGCAAAATATGACCCAAACGCAACCCAAAAGCGCAAAAATAAATAACCCATAAGCGCAAAAAAAAATTACCTTTTTAATAACCCATAAGCGCAAATCAAAAAAAAAAACTATGAGATATATTTTCATTTTCCGTCAAAATGTTGGATATTTTAAAATTAGTTTGAATAGTAGAAGTAAACATTTCACTTGATTTTAAAATAAATATAAAATATAAACTATAAAATATATACTATTATACTGGGTGATTCTTTTATCAAACAACACTCATTATTTCAAAAAGTGTAAATTTTTTTGAAGATATTTTTTTACATAGTTTCAAGTCGTTTATAAAACAACGTTTTTATTAAAAAATTATATTTTTAATTATTTTTTATCCTTATCATTTTTTAAGTTTTTTACTTTTTTGAATGACAACATAGGGTTTTAATTTTATATTCTAAAGTAGAATATTTTTCTTAGTTTTTTGATACATGAAAATTGAATTTGGGTTGAGTAGTTTATGAGTTATAAGTATTTAAAGTTTAGACGAGCGGTGAGGTGGACAAACATTTCGCGGGGTAACCCCGAACCACTCCACTCCGCTCGTCTAAACTTTAAATACTTATAACTCATAAACTACTCAACCCAAATTTGATTTTCATGTATCAAAATACTAAGAAAAATATTCTACTTTAGAATATAAAATTAAAACCCTATGTTGTCATTCAAAAAAGTAAAAAACTTAAAAAATTATAAGGATAAAAAATAATTAAAAATATAATTTTTTAATAAAAACGTTGTTTTATAAGCGACTTGAAACTATGTAAAAAAATATTTTCAAAAAAAATTACACTTTTTGAAATAATGAGTGTTGTTTGATAAAAGAATCACCCAGTATTATTATATTGTATATTATAGTTATCTTCAATGATTATCAACTGTCATCGTATTGTGTTACGATAATCGATACAGACAAATGCAACAACCGTCGCGACGCGTTACTGCAATATGTAGTGAAACGGGTTATATTCATGCAAAGCGTCGAGCGTTGAGCGTTAGATCAGTAAAATATTGTATCAGGTTATACAATTTATTTTTGCGATTTTATCCCACTACCGAGGTACAAAAGCGCAAATTCATTTTGCGCTTTTGAGTTATCGAAAAAAAAGGTCGATTTGCGCGTTCGGGCTTCACCGCGTGTATTTATCTATTTATATCTATTACATCTATTATATTTCTGCGGGCGTGCGTACGGGTTCCCTCTCTGCATCCCTATATCAACATCCTCTCGGCCCTTATAATATATATGCTGGAAAACCGACTACTCTGCTGGTGGTCATCAATCACCACCATATGGGAAAATTATTTAAAGTATTTTTTATATAATATAATATGTTGTGTATAATACCACAGACTATATGACTACTTTTCGTATTGCTTGTGATACTACTATAATATATTATATATATAATATACTTTCTCGTTTAAACTTTAAAGCATTAGCAACGCTGTACTTCCGACTATGGTGGGTTAAATAAATAGACGGATCACAAGCTATTTACTCAAATTTATAGTTACCAATTTTTTTTACCACCGTGTTGTTAATATATAATATATAATATGATAGGTTATTTCCGTAATATAGACTGCAGTTCTTCCCAGTAGCGTATATAGGAATTTTTCACGGGGGGGGGGGGATATAAAGATTTTAAGACATTTTTAGTATATACACATTTAATCATATTAATATATGGCATATAGGTACATGTTGTAATGTGTAAAAAAAATTTGTTTTTTTTACTATAAAACAAAGTCCAATTTTCTTGAGGACAACGAAAGTATATTGAGTACCTCATCGGGTGTGACATTTATATTTTTGTGCACTGATAGCATACAAAGTCCATTAAGTCGATTCTAAAAACAAATTTTGGCACATTATAACCAACAGTAAGTGTGAAAAGCACTGGGCTTCATTAACTTTGGTTACAATTTTTTTTTAAATAATATCATTGCATATGTTTACTAATTGATTTTGAATACCAGGGCTAAGATATTTTATATTTGTATCTGTCCCTTCTAAGACATTTTGTAAAAATATATCTCCTTTGGCTCTGACTTGCAAAATAGCACGGAAATTTCCAGCATTTTGAATAGCATTTTCATCAATTAATATATTTCTTTTCTCTCCTCGGTGACCTCTCAAAGCTAACTCTTGTCTACCACACAGGAGGATGCATTCAATGATAGGTACCAAACGTTTTCTATTTTTTTTTTACTTGAACTATTCTAAAAATAATAACAATAAAACAACATTATAGTTGAAACCTCATAAGTTTCAATAACTGCCAGTATAATAAAAACCTGTCAGAATCTAGCTGCTCAATAATGGATTTCTCTTTTTTTTCTAATACATTTATAAAATGCTCAGCATCTAATGTGGCATTTATATGGTATTCCAACTTACAATGATTTTGAAACACCTGAAAAACATTAAAGTACAATTTTAAATGGTATTTCAACATACTTACTTTTGATAAAACTATAAGATTTAGAATTTTCGTATAGCTTGTGATACTACTATAATATATTATATATATATAATATACTTTCTCGTTTAAACTTTAAAGCACTAGCAACGCCGTACTTCCGACTATGGTGGGTTTCGTCTTATAAATAGACGGACCACAAGCTATTTACTCAAATTTATAGTTACCAATTTTTTTTACCACCGTGTTGTTAATATATAATAATATATAATATGATAGGTTATTTCCGTAATATAGACTGCAGTTCTTCCTTGTATAACTTAGGTGCTACCTGTGGCCTGTGCCAATAGTTGTCTATATTGCCGATACATAACGTACACTTAACTTTATACCTACTGTTTTATTTTTTGATTCGCCAATTTTTAATAGAAACCCGTTTTTTAGTATTCATATTACCTATTTATCTATACTTTGTACAAACGTCGGGTTTGTTGTTTATTTTTACTATGTTTGCGTTTTGATTTATATTATAATATTATACCAAAGTAGTGGTCATGTTTTAGTTTTTAATTTTACCTAGATTTTGTTATACAAATGACCTCAAAAGTTCGTTATGTAAAAAAAAGGTGTTGATTACTAATTACTAAATTACCACATAATATTATACAAAATAATGATTATGAATATAAATATTGGCTCAATATAGGATTAATTAAATTCTTAATAGTTTTAATCGTTTGATGTATACCTACAATTTTATATAATTATATTTAAGTACCTATTAAAAATGTATATTATATAAACAAACATAATATTATATTCTTTTAATATCTGTCAAGACATGTATTATCAAGAAATTGTAATATATATACATATATATTATATTTTATATATCTTTTATTATTTGAGACTTAAGTGTACTTTATTTATATATTTTGTAAATAATTTTTCTACTAGTCCTTTGTTTAATGTCCGGTATATAATATTATATAGGTACCATGACTATTATTGTGATATCGTAAAATCGGGTAACCAGTGTATCGACCGCACATAAATGTTTCAATTAGCCATTACTTGTTCTACGATTTATCCGACGTCTTCAAACCACTATATAATATTTTTAGCTAGGTTCAGCTTGTATCAGATTTATATGTGGATATAAACGAACGACGCAAAGCCATACCTAATAAACGAGAAAAAAACAGAAAAGCTTAGCAATAATCGACATCGCATCATAACATAATATAATATCATATACGTAATAATACAAATTAAATCATTGTCGTCTTTACTAGTTAAATAGTCTACTAATGTATGAGCTTTTTTTTCTTTTTGCGTTTGTTTTTGCTTGATCGGAGAAGATGGTTCGAGTTTGGTTTGTATGCAATATAATCATATGGTGGTGGAACTTGGACACCATTTTCGACGGTAGGCAATTACAATTATTATTGTCTACGTGTTTGCAGAATAGTTTCGCAGTTCGCACACACGGCACACATATTGAGAGGTACATTTTCTCGGTACACCTCTTTATTCGAATACATATTATCTACCACGATAATACATAAATATTTGATGTATAAACTATATAATTCAATATTGTCTCTGTGCACAGGAACCGGATGACGGCTGCTGAAGCCAGTGCCGGCGCTAGGTTTTGCGGGGGCCCGGGGCAAGTAAAAAATGTGGGGCCCTCATTCGTATCTTATACATTCCATCCCCATTCCAAATTAATTGTAGATTTAATTCAAAAGATAATTTTGTCCATCGATTTTAAAACCAACGATTATTTTACATTAAGTACTTAAGTAGGTATGTAAAGAAAATCAAAACAATCAATGATAAATGTATTATCATATTATTATTTGCATAGAAATTAAACTAATAAGTAATTTTAAAATACTAGTAGATAAGTAATAACTTATATTTATAAACGAAGTTTAAAAAAAGTAAGTGTGATGAACAATTAACGATATATTTTTTTTTCTTTATATTTTAAATACATAATAAAGTAAAATGTTGTCAGTTATAATTCTTTAATTTGTCTAGCTTTTTTAAATGAAAAATCATTTATTATATCTTCATAATTTAGTTGTTCTGAAAGTTCTTTTTCTATACAAATTGTAGCAAGTCCAGTAAGTCTTTGTTGTGACATGGTACTTCGTAAATAAGTTTATAAGTTTTAATTTTGAGAATGTTCTCTCTGCTCCAGCTGATGTAAGCGAAATTGTTAACATAATTTGTAAGGCAATATTCAAGGAAATGCGTTCGTTTTTTTATTTCAGAAAGTACTAGAAGTGGTGTAGTATTTTTATCAATTAAATGGTGGAAAATTAATATTTCTTCGTATAAATCATAACCATTTAAATTTTTTTTGTCATTATCTGACAAACCTATTTCCAAATCTTTGCAGCAATTTAAAATTTCTAAATCAGAAAGTAGGTAACTATTAGTATATTTTATATATTATACATGTACATATTATTGGCTACATCAAATACGATAAGCCAATAACGACGATACAACCGTCGAGCATTTTAGTTTTAACAATCTTTATAAACAACAAAAATAATTCGGTAGAACGTAGAAATCAACTTAAATTTAATGTGATACATATGGGTATTTTGGGTAATATATTTTTGTTGTTAGTATAATAGTATATGTTGGGTTTACCAAGACTCATGATCAAAAATTAACTTAATTTATGTTTTTTTGGTTTCATTCAGGTGGGAGCACTATAAATATCGGGGCCCCAAAATCGCGGGGCCCGGGGACGTGCCCCGCTCGCCCCGACGATTGCTCCGGCACTGGCTGAAGCGATCAGACACAATTGGCTGAAGACAGCGGAACGACGGAAAGCGTTGAGCAAGACCAAATTGAAACGATACGTAATAAAAAAAACAGTGGATTCGGGTGACCAACACAATTTTAGCGTTAAATCGCATGGGTGCTAAATTGGAATAATGATAAATAAAAAAACACGGTATAGGTACTACTTATGACAACCATATTATAATATATTATGTGTACGGAGTGATCTGAACTATATATAGCTTCACTGAAGTTCTTAGTTGAATTTCGTATTTTCGAAAAATATTATTTTTACATACTGCGCAGTCGGTCAGCCGTCGTAGGTACCTATATTTGTATCACTACATTTAAACAACATAGTATAATATTATACAGATTGATTCAACAACTAACAAGCACGAGTAGCTCCATTCTTTACATAAATAACTTTTACAGAATTTGATTTTAGGAATTTTTAAATATACCTAGGGGTTGCAACCCACGTATTTTTTCATACTTTTAGACCAATAAGCGGTGGTAAATTACACATACTTCGAAATGTCAGATTTACATTTTTTTTATACATGTTTGAATTCATTGATAAAATATCTAGGTTTCTTAGGAAGTCGATTTTCAATTTTCAATTTAAAATGACCTTTAAATAACCATTTTTTTTTTTTAGAAATCCCATGAAATAATTGCATTACATTTGTATTTATTTTGGGCACATATGATTTTAAATAAACAAAGTGATTCCTAAGAAGCATAGTCTAGTATAAATTCAACCATTTTTTCGAAATCACAATCGAACTTCGGGAAGTATGATTCATTTACTACCCCTTTTAGTAGTTTTATAGGCATGCAAACAAGAATATATTTCATTTTTCACGATGTAATGACATGTGCGTGCGCGCGTGAGAGTTGCTTCCGGCGCGGTTGCCCGACTCGACGTGCAGCGATTTCCGGAAACGATAAAGGATTACGCACACTAATGTTCATTTACTACTCACACACAGATACAGTATTAATTTATATGTCACATGAATTGCCTAAATAGTACTCCTTAAAATATGCTAAGGTGCAGCCCCCTTAAGACCATCATAATTTCAAACACTTGAGATTTTTAGATTCTGAGCGGAGCGATGAATGTATTGGTTTTACAATGATGTATGTTTTTATATTTTTATATTTTTATTTATATTTTTATATTTTTGTGTCTGTCATCACGTTTTAGGACAGTAAAAGTGCTTCGATTTTCTTCAATAGTACCTTTTCTGATAGAAAAGTGAATCTAGTTGGTACTTTGGGGGGTCAAAAGTAAACATTTTCCAGTAGTTTTCACAAGCGCCGGGAAAAACAACATAAAAATTAAGGAAAAAACGGGAATTTTTACGCAAAATCTATTTTCCAAAAAATCGAATTTGGTTATTGGTGTAACTTTAAAACAAATGACCGTAGATACATGAAATTTTCACTGGTTGTTTATATTTGCATTTTCTATACACGATAACATTTTCAAAATATTTTGATTTATTTTGAACTGTTTAGGGACATTTTCATTTTTCATTTTTTTTTAGTTTTTTTTCTAGAAATATCAATAAAATTTTATTTGTTGGTTGCGAAAGCTTGAAAATTTAATAGAAGGCTCCTAATATGTTGTTTCAAAGGCAGATGAAAAATATTAAAAATCCTTAGTCACAATTTTTTTTTATAAGCATTTAAAGTTCAAAAATTGACAAAATATGGAAAAATCACGAAAATTAGCAAATTATTTTGAGTTAAGAATTCGTAAAAATTTTTCTTTTTAAATCTAAGATTTGAAAATGAAACACAAGATTCCTTATAAGATTATCTACCTTTATCAATAAAAAAATCTCTACCGGACAGTCAAATTAAATTTTTATGAGCGTTTGAAATTCAAATTTTTACAACATTGGATTTTCACTCGATTTCTCATGTAGCGATTTCCTTATTTTGTTGTAATTCAAAAACGAATAACTGTAGATACATGAAAATTTCACTGAATGTTTATATTAGCATTTCCTATACACCATACAATTTTGAAAATATTTTGACTCTTTTTGAGCTGTTTATGGACATTTACAGCTTTCAATTTTTTTTAGTTTTTTTTTCTATAAATATCAATAAAGTTTTATCTGTTGGGCCAAAAAGTGTAAAAATTTAATACAAGGCTCCTGATATATTGTTACAATATCAGTTGAAAAATATTAAAAATACATAGGCAC